GCACGCAGACGGATATATAGAGGGGCAGGACCTTGCATTTAGTTCAAAGAAGTGGTCTGTTTGGGTAGTCAAACACCAGTACGTACCGTTTATTTGGACCAGCTCGATGTTCATTTGTTTCTCTGTGACAACCACATCAAACCTAGAAAGATTTGTCATGATGTTATATGGGCAGGTACATAAGATTTCCTTATCAAAGTGGGTGCAACAATCCCTGAGGTACAGGGAGACCCCACACTTTCAGAAGAAAGAGTTACTCACCTTGTGCAGTAATGGTGCTTCTTCAAGATGTGTCCCTGTGGGTGCTGGTACATTCTCGTGCTGGCGACCGGAGATCTTTCTAGCTGTTTCCACTGCACCGTGCCCGGGGTTTGGAGCCCCGTGTTAGTCACTGTAGACAATACGGGGGAAATGGGGATTCACCACCATAAGGGCTGGGTGGTCAAAGCTGTCCTCCAACATTGCTCTTCTAATACCTTTAATTTAGTTTCATTAATTAACAATCCAATTAATCTCTGGTCCAAATATCTGGTTAGGTCTAGTGACATGGACACAGAGCTGGACAAAGATTTGGACAGATCCTTCAAACTATTCAGGATCAATTGGTTGGTTTGGCTGGTGTCTAGGCCTGTACAGGCACTGGATATTACTGCATCTACCAACCTGGATTCTATACAATTTCTGGGCTATGACATAAGTGTTGCTGACTGAGTTTCCAGTTGGGCCCAAACCAATCTGCGATGGTATCTGCTAAGCCTGGTCGTTGCCTAATCAGGTGCATTCCAATTTGATTAGCCAGTCTAGCACACAGCTGGTCTATACCAGTGTGGAACATCACGAAGGTAAGGACCAGTGACAGTTGTCCTGGTTCTGGGACAGGGATCTGTTCAGGGCATGATGCGCAATTGGGAAGCTCTATTTTGTCCTTGTGGACCTGGTCGATGATATTCAAATGAGGGCAAGTTAGCAATGACCATTGTTTTACAAATGATAGCCAAGCCTCAGGGGTTACCTTTGTTTGGGCTTTAAGTGGTAAGCCCCAGTGGGAGTCAGTAGATCTAACTTCAGTGACCTGATGTTAATGTTTACCTTCTTTCCCACAATATTCCATACAAACTTTAACTCATAGGACTGTGTATAATTTTTTTTCCTCATAGTGTTCGTGTTTTTACAATAAACAAAATGGCTGTGTCTACACTGGCATGAATTTCCGGAACTGCTTAAAACAGAATACTATTCCGTTTTCAGTTTTTCCGGAAAAGGAGCGTCTACATTGGCAGGCTGCTTTTCCGGAAAAGCCCTTTTTCCAGAAAAGCGTCTGTGGCCAATGTAGACGCGCTTTTCCGGAAAAGACTACTGGGCTGTCTACACTGGCCCTTTTCCGGAACAGTGTTCCGGAATAAGGACTTATCCCCGAGCAGGAGCAGAATAGTTTTTCCGGAATAGCGGCTGATTTTGTACAGTAGAGCATCATTGCTTTTCCGGAAATTCAAGGGCCAGTGTAGACAGCTTGCAGCTTATTCCGGAAAAGCGGCTGATTTTCCGGAATAAGTGGCCCAGTGTAGACACAGCCAAAGTGTTTAGTTGTTTTGCCCCAGAGCAATTAGTGTGTATTTGTTCTATATATGTGACTTAAAGGAGGTTACATTGACTAGAGTCACTGTTTCTCGTATGGGGGAACATCATGGTTCCAGAATGTTTTAATTATTAATGGGAACCCATGTAATTCCATAATTCTTTGCAGGTATTCTTCAGGCCTTTTAAGGCGTCAGGCTCCAAAAGCTAAATATTTCTTTAGTGTGGCCATTAAAGCAAAGCCAATCTGGTGGGGAGGGGGCTGGTACCCCACTCCCAGTCCTTCTGTTCACGTGATGCACTCCTTGCTTCCTTCTAGTTCCTTTTTTGTTCACCAGTGGAGAGAGTGTTAACATTCTCCTAGCCTAAACAATTACCACACTATTATCCTTTCACTAAATTTTAAAGTTGCCAATTGATTGCCAATTGATTGGGCCCAGTTATTAATTTTGTTTTGTTGAAATTCATGCTTCTGCTTTACTCAAATTATTCTTTCATTAAAAACTATATTCTACACACAACAACATTTGCAATATGTATCACAATTAAGACACAAAAGACAAAACACAAACTTGGACAGAACACAAACTTATGTCATGACAGTAGAACCGTGGTGTTTTTTTTCCTTTAGTTGATTTTCAGCTGGCACCAGCGCTTTCTGATGATCTGAAAGACAAAGAAAACATTTCTATCCCTGTCAGGGTGGCACATTATACCTTAAAATACCCCTTTTTTTTATCAGATGTTCTTTGTTAGTTTTGATCAGCTTGTTGTTACCTAATGATATGCTTTTATTTTGCATACCAGCTTCAGAAGGTTTGAGTGGATTACTTCATTGTTCAATTATTAAGCTAAAAGTGGCATGCCTCAATTTCCCTCTTGTACCACAGATCAGGTTTAATGTGTGAAGCTATAATGCTTTTCTTTAGCACAAGGTGTTGGCCCGTTACTGTTTCAGCAAGCAAAAAGCTTTTCTTTTCCTGAAAAGAATCATATTCAACTTTACAGGTTTACTTATTAGCACAATGTTAATAATAATAATAACATTAAATTTTCAAATAGGCGCTTATGAATATCTTGTTTGTATTTGGACAATTTACTTCAGGGGACAGTGGATTTTATATTTCTGTGAAATAGTCAGGCAGTCTGTATTCACGTGCAACTTTGGATCTGAAAGCAAGCCCAAAGTGTTATCAATTCAGCCTTGAACAAAGAAACAGTGAAGTCCAGAGCTTGGATTCTTAAAACAATTATTTGTTTTCTTAGAGAGTACATTTAACCTTAAGGATTGAATGTATAGATTTCATTCTTTTATACAGTTAACCAATTAATTTTCAGTAACAAAAGTGTCCGTTGTCAAATGTTGAAATTTGATTGTTTCTTTGCCTGGATTATTGAAAGAGGCTGCAAGAAATCATTTTCAAATCAGGTTTCCTTCTCACACATTATGACAATTGCTTAATTCCTTCCACTCTCCAATGGAGTCACTTCTCACCTTCGCATACCCTTTAATCACTTGCTTTGTCCCTCATAAAACTTTCCTCATTCCTATTAATTTAACTTTCCAATGATTGTATTACTGCTTTCCTTATTCCTTCTATTTTGCCCGTCGGGCTCCAAACCTCTTACCTTCCCCTTTCATATGCTTTTTCCTTCTTATGGTCCATACTGATTCCTGCTAAATGACTTTTGCCAATGACACAGGTTTGTCCAATATTAATTTGGTAAGGAGGGTGGGCTTTCCAGTTAGCCCCCACACCTCCTGATTCCTTTCAATAGGTAAATCCAAATGTTTAGTATTGTAGTCAGCTATTACTAATTTTAAACTTCTTAGTACAGGCTATGGGGGTATGCTTAGATTGATCCCCATCCATTTTAGTCATTCAGTGGAGTATCCTCTCCACTCCCTATCAGTTCAGAACCAATTAATCTTCCTCATTTCCACAGGCTATCTAAGTGTTGCTATTAATGCCAGTCACAGTATTATCTGAATATTTGTGTTTTAATTTGGACACAGATACTCATTCTGTATAAATATCAAATAAGGATTAAAATTCTAAACAAGAAATATAAGTTGTAAGGGTTTTTCAAGATTCCAAGGTTCTCTGAGATTCCAAGTGTATGAAATGATGTATTTTTCTCAGTATTAAACAGGACACAATGCATATATTTAATTATTGCAATATCCCACGTCAAAACCTGTTGGTCTCAGCTCAGAGCCCCATTCTGGTGAAAGAAAGTGATGACAAGGGACAACAAATGACAGAGGAAGTGGGGATGGAGACTTAGGGTATATCTACACTTCCTCCCTAGTTCGAGCTAGGGATGCAAATGTAGGCGACTGAAATTGCTAATGAACATGGGATTTAAATATCCCGCACTTCATTAGCATGATCTCGCCGGCGCGTTACTCCACTCAACAGCTGTTTCGAACCAGGAAGTGCACACTGGGACATGTTAGTTCAAACCAAACCCCTTGCTTTGAACTAACGTTACTCCTCAAAGAGTAACGTTACTCAAAGATGAGTAACATTAGTTCGAACCAAGGGGTTTGGTTTGAACTAACGTGTCCCGGCGCGCACTTCCTGGTATGAAACAGCTGTTGAGCGGAGTAACACGCCGGCGAGATCATGCTAATGAAGTGCGGGATATTTAAATCCCTGCTTCATTAGCAATTTTGGTCTCCTACATTTGCATCCCTAGCTCGAACTAGGGAGCAAGTGTAGATGTACCCTTAGAGAAGGTGAGGGCAGGAAGGATGGCCCAAGGAAAGGGTAGAGAAGGGGTGGAAAAAGGATGTTGAGTTTGTGGGATTAGGCTGTTGACAACCCTACCTACAGCCCAGATTGAAATACCTCCAAAATTAAATGTCCAGGAATAGGATCTTCCTGGGAATGTATGCATTTGTCTTGGTATGGGAGCCAGGCACATGGGCCAGTCCTGCTGTCTCCTAGGAGCTGCCATCGCAGATGCCTCTGGTAGCCTGTGCAGATTTTTATGCTAGCAGCACGTAGAGCTACTCGCATGGAATTAGCATGGAAGTAGATTGTTTCTTTGATACATCTTTCTGCATTATATATGTTTCTTTTGTCCTCTGTTCTTCTGCTCTTTGATCTGTAGTGGCAACCTCTCAAAAGTGATCAGGCATACATCAATATTACCAGTCTGTTGGACATATTGTCTTTTGAAAATTGTACTTACTAATATTGTGGTGGCTTTTTATTCTAGAGGATATTCTCAGAATTACTTCTTGATTTGTAAATGATTCTGTGACTTTAATTGCTGCTGTCATTGGTCTGTTTGTGAAATATTTTATTAGGTTATTTCTAAAAATGCCACAAACAGAAGAAATCCCATACTTATTTGGGATAACCCATTTTTCCAATATGCTTGGCCTTATGTTCCCTTTTTCTTTTACACATTAGGAGCCCTCTACCCAGATGGAACAAGTGGCAAAAGCAAAGAAGATGATTTTGTTGTTCCTAATGGAAATTATACATATACATGGCCAGTGAAGAAAGAATACGCCCCCACTATGGCAGATCCAACCTGCCTGACTTGGATTTACCATTCGCACATTGATACACCTCGAGATATCAGTTCTGGGTTAATCGGACCGTTGCTGGTTTGTAAAAAAGGTGCAGAGCTGAAAATAGTGAGGAAGACCCTCAGTTTTTGTTTTTGTTTACAGGTGTACATTTATGGGCTTGATTGTGTCAATACATAGCTCATAGTAAGGGGCAGTTTATAGTTGTGCCACTCTAGGAGCACCCCAGGTGAGGAATTATGGATCAGAGACAATTCCTTTGCTATTTCCCTCTTGCTCCAGAGGGCAGTAATTTGTGACTGGCCCATCCCCACACAGGATCGTTGCCTCGGTTAAGGCAGGGATTGCATGATGGTGAGATCACGTCAGAATAGAAAACAAAAATAATTATCAAGCAGCTGCCTCATTCACAGACTACCACCCACTCTGCCAACTGAACAAGGTAGTGGTTCTGTGGAAAAATGGCATGTGATCATGTCATGAAAGACTCTTGTACAAGGTACAGTGTTAAAGTTGTGCAGACTTATAAGTGCTTTGGTTAGAAACCCTAATGTTCGTCCAATGCAGGCTCTTTTGTACGGAATATATCTTATATATGCTCAAGCATGTCAGATCTTCAGTGCATGGAATGTGCTCTGTACTTCTGAAATGATAACTTGGCCTGTGTATTTTACATGCCAAATGTATACCTACCTTGGGGCAATGTTTATACTTCCTGGGGAAGAGTGAGGCTTTGTTATGGAAGGGGCTAACCTAATCTCAAACCCAGCCTGCATCATTCAAGAGCCTTAGACCAGTTTTTCAGAGGGAAACCTAGACATCTTCCCACCTGAAGCTAAATTAACATTCCTAGTAGGGTTGTTCAAATAATCATGCTGAAATTGGTCTTGCAGCTTAAAAAAACACTTCGGAAATACGTACCGTGAGAGCACACATGTTTACATTTAACTAACTCTGAGTTTATGTTTAGTACTTTCCCTTTTGTTTGCGGTTTAGGAAGTTTAGATGAGTCCTTGATACAAAGCACCGATGCTGCTAAAGGCTTTGCCCTCATGTACAGCACTGTAGATGAAAATCTCAGCTGGTACATTGACGCAAATATAAAAGCTTTCTGTTCAGACCCAGCCACGGTTGACAAAGAGGATGAAGGTTTCAAGAACAGCAATAAGATGCATGGTAAGCAGCCACAAGCTTGTCATGCAATAGCAACTAGACTGTTTTCATGTCTGTAATATATTGTTGTACTTTATTGATAATATTTAGATGTCTTTCCTTTCCCTGTTAATTGGCAAGAAATTAAAGCATACACTAAAGATGGGCCAGATGATTAACCTACTGTACTGGTAGACTCCCCTCAAGTCTATAAGCAGCATGACGTGTAGGGCCCAGGATCTGGTGAAAGGAAGCCTGGCTCCTGGTGCCCATCTCTGCCACTGCCTTGCTCTTTGAACTTTGGCAAATGGTTTAACCCTCTTGTGCCTCAGTTTCTCCATCTACAAAAGAGAAATGATGAGCCTGACCTTTCGTAAAGCGTTATGAGATGTGCTGTTGCTGAACTACTGGAAGTGACAAGTGTCCAGGGCTCTAACGTACTTTACAAATAATAGGCCATATTCTCAGCTGGTATAAATGTGACATTGCACTATTGCAGTCAGTGGTACTAGAGCCCCTGTGCACAAAAGCTGTATTTACATACCTAAATAAAGGGCTAGATTTTGAAGTTAATGGACTGGTGGAATCCCCCTCACTAGAGGCTTTTAAGAATGGATTAGACAAAGTTTACCTGGTCCTTTCTGAGCACAGGGGCATGGACTAGATCACATACTTCTCAGACAGAGGTCTGTATGTAGGGATCAGTGCTTATCAACCTGGAGGTTGCAGCTCCCAGAGGGGCCATGGGACAGATTTAGGGGATTGGAAGGGCATGGCCAGCATTAGGGAGTGACAAGCAGGGCAATTGCCCAGGGCTCATGAGTGAAAAATAGGCTCAAGTGACACACTGAAATGTAAATACAATATTTATATTCCAGTCAATTTATTTTATAATTGTACTGTAAAAACAAGAGCCTGAGCAATTGGTCAGTACGAGTGTGCAGTGGCTTTTGTATTTTTATGTCTGATTTTGTAAGCAAATAGTTTTTAAGTGAAGTGTAATTGGGGAGTATGCAGACTAATCAGACTCTTGAAAGGGGGACAGTAGTCTGGAAATGTTGAGGACCACTGGACAAGGTGAGCTCTCACAGTCTTTTTCAACTTTATGTTTACGTGATTTTACGATGTTCAGAGGCACTGCGTATCCACAGTGTCCATTAACTTGAAAATCAGGCTATTTATGTAAGTACTTAACTTCAGATTTCAGTGAAAACTTGGCCTGAGTGACTTCCCTAGATCACCCAGAAAGTTTGTAACAAATAGTGACAGAATCCAGGTCTCTGGGTGCCCACACCTGGGATCTAATTGCAAAGCCCTTTTTTCCTCTATCCCATCTGGAACTATTGTCACAGTGTTTGCACGCTGGTTTTCAGTCGCAGAAACCACTCATCCTTTCAGAACTGCTCTTTAGGTCAATTAAATATGGTATAAATTATTTATATCCATATTATCATAGCATATAATCATGGACCAGGATTCCACTGTGCTAGGTGCTACACAAGCATAAACCAGACATACAATCCTTGCCCCAAAGAGCTTACAATCTAAATATACGAAATGAGAGAGGAGATGGATACAGACACACAAACGGGAGGGTACAAAGAGGTTGGTTTTAACTGTCTGACATGGATATGGACTCAGCATGGACATTCTGAAGGTTTATTTTAAGGAACAGGCTTTTACATTCTTTAAATAAGAGTCACTAGCAATCTGTGCTTTGTATCTCATGGGTTGTATTTTGTTTTGCTTTTAGCTATTAATGGTTACATTTTTGGAAATCTCCCCACTTTGGAGATGTGTGCCGGTGAATTCATATCTTGGTATTTGATTGGAATGGGTAACGAGATAGACATCCACTCTGCATATTTCTATGGTCATACCATCACTAACAAAGGCCATAGGGCAGACACCGTCAACCTATTTCCAGCGACCTTCATTACAGTGGAAATGATTGCAGGGAATATTGGGAAGTGGCTGTTAACCTGTCAAGTTAGTGAACATTTACAAGGTACAGTTATATGGATCTGGCAAATCCTTCCGGGAAGATGCTGAGTTAGATATTCTATAGTACAGATATCAGACTAGAAAAGAGAACTCAAGGAATAGGATCAGGATTGGGGGGGGGGTCTATATTTTTCCAGTTCACTAACCGATCAGACTGACTTGTTTCATGAAATAAATTTCATTAGTCTGATTTCAGTCACTGACAGAAAGCTATAGGGGACCAAATCATGAGCAAATGTAAATGACATCACTGACTCAAGTGATTGAAGATGGTGCACACAAGAAGGGGTTGCCAGATCCAACTTTAACCATTACTTTATATATATATACTTTTGGGGAGCAATGAATGCAGTATCCTTTGTATTGCACTGTCTTATAGAAAACTGATATTTTTACATTGGAAAAAAAGTCATGTCGGGTGAACCATTTCATACTTTTTCTGTATAAAGAAATCTGATAAAAACGGTCTGTTTCTAGAAAGCTGGTTTCTAGAGACTTTTGCATGAAAGAACTTAGTATAGAGCTCACACCCACCTAACAGACTGTGGGTCTTATTGTGCCAGCATTGGACAGGCTATGTTTACATTACGGGGTTCTTCCGGGACACCAGAGAATGTGTCTGCTCTTTCGCTTTTTTTGCGGAAGAGCAGATGCGCTTTTTCGGAAGCCCTGCCTTCCTCCTTCCACGAGGAAGAAGGGCTCTTCCGCAAGAGGGGTGGCTTTTTCGAAATTTGGCGCAGTGTTGACGGGCCAAATTTCAGAAAAGTCTCTTCCAAAGAAACTATCGGAAAAAGGTACGCAAATTGTAGAGTGCAATTTACATACCTTTTTCCGATACATCATTGTAGTGTAGACATAGCCACAGACTGTCCAATATAAGAGAGAGCCCCTGTTCCAAAGAACTTACAATCTCAGGGTCAGAGTCTGATCCAGAGATTCCCATTGACATCTATGAGCTTTGTATCAAGCAAACAAGGCTTGATTTTGCCAGGTGCTGCCCACTCTTACTGAAGTCAGTGAGCGGTGAGGTTGCATCATACCTTTTAGGAGATGCTCAGGGCCTCAAAGGATCAGATCCTAAAGGCCAGATTCTGCCATCCTTAGTGAAATCCATGTAATTAAAGGGGCACAAATACCTTTGAGGATCTGGACCTTGACTAGTACCTTGCTCCATGAGGAGTCCCTTTGATTTCAATGGTATTACTTGTGAAATAATGTGCCATCCTGAAAACTGTAAGGGTGGCAGAATTGGGGTATGTCTACACTACCCCCCTAGTTCGAACTAGGGGGGGTAATGTAGTCATACGGAGTTGCAAATGAAGCCAGGGATTTGAATTTCCCAGGCTTCATTTGCATGAAGCCGGCCGGTGCCATTTTTAAAAGCCGGCTAGTTCAGACCCCGTGCCGCGCGGCTACACGCGGCACGGACTAGCTAGTTCAGATTAGGCTTCCTAATTAGCCTGTTCCATGAGGCGTACAGCTAGTTCAGATAGGAAGCCTAATCCGAACTAGCTAGTCTGTGCCGCTTTAGCCTGTTCCATGAGGCATACAGCTAGTTCAGATAGGAAGCCTAATCCGAACTAGCTAGTCTGTGCCACGTGTAGCCGCGCGGCACGGGGTCTGAACTAGCCGGCATTTAAAAATGGCACCGGCCGGCTTCATGCAAATGAAGCCCGGGAAATTCAAATCCCTGGCTTCATTTGCAACTCCGTATGACTACATTACCCCCCCTAGTTCGAACTAGGGGGGTAGTGTAGACATACCCTTGGATCCCATCTAACCTGGGTAACTCTTCAAACATACACATTTTGTCCAGGCATCCAAATAATTTCTCCCAGTCCATGTAGCTTTCTCTAGTGAAGCTTTGCGCCAGTAGAAATTCCTGAAATCATGGGCAATGGGTAGAAGAGACAGGGGAAGGCAATGCTGTCACAAACTGCAAGCCCAGCCCTACCCACTTCCCCCCTGCCCCAACCCTGGCCCCTCTTCAGCATGTTTCCTCCAGTCTCCATGGGTTGCCTGGGCTTCAGCCCCACCAAGGCCAGGGCTGTGCCATCAGCCCTCCCCCCGTTCCCTGGCTGGGGCTGGGGAA